TTAATATGGACGGATTGTACAAATAAACGGAGATACACAAAAAAATCCTTATTTCAGAAAGAAGTACATACTGGAACAGTGCTTCTTGAGGAGGTTGCAGATATTCTTCGGAAAATGTAACTGACTTCTTATACGCAGTGATACTGAAAATCAGTACACTAAAAAGTACTGGAAATAGGAAAACTGAGAAGTCGAAATTGTTTTCTCTCCGTACGCCACTCCTAATTTTCGTTAGGACGCTTATGAGATTGCTTTACTCTGTGTATGTCTTGTGTGTCCCGAGTTTTTTCTTTTTCTGTGTGGTCCATGTCGTATCAAAGAAAAGTAGACGATTAATTCTTCCCCGAACTTCTTCTAATGTAATTTCTAGACCTACACCGAATTCCCCCAGGCGGTCCATTAATTTCAGGGATTCAGTGTAGAGTATTCTATGCATTCTCACCTTCTTACGCATGCTACATGTTTAGCTAATCAATTACTGCAATGCTGTGAGTGTCCGTTTGTGAGAGAGACACCGAACAAAGTGGCTTCAGATACTTTGCAGAGACGAGGTGGGGTTTAGCGTCTGCAGCCACTGTTCATATGGAAGCAGGCTGACTCTTCTTCAGAGCCGATTGATCGGTTGAAATAGCCGGGGTATCAGTTTCCTCCCCAAAGTTAGGCGCACAGAAAGTAAGTTTCGAAGTCCGGACCGAGTTGCTATCGCCTGGCCCGTGATGTGTCTCTGTAGCGAGCAAAACTTTGTACAAGTTCGTCCTCTTACGATGCTTTGTATAGGATAGGGGCCTGCATTAGTACAAACAGCATCCGTCTGTACGTCTAGGTTGCTCCATGAAACGGCATTGAGATAACTGAGAGTAAATATTGGAATTCGAAGCTTATAAAATGCTGGCTCCTGAGGTGTATCCGCCTCTCATTCCGATGGCTGTCTCATCTGATATTGCCCCTATTTCGCTCGTGTACCAATCGGTAAGAATGTTTCTAATTTACTTTCCATATAAGAAGGGTAACGTAGTTGGTTGAGGGGCTATGCTACAAGCCGGAAGGTCGCGGGTTCAAGTCCCGATGAGCTCATTGGATTTTTTTCATTTGACCTAATCCTTCCAGCCGCACTATGGCCCTGGGGTTGACTTAGCCTGTAACAGAAATGGGTACCAGGAATTAATTAAATAATTTTCCTGGGGAGTAAAGCGCGGCCGGCGCGTAAGGCTGACAACCTTACCGCCATCTTTGAGCCGATTGTCTAGATAATGTGGGACCCTCAACGTCTCACAACCCTCTGGGCCTTCCTGGCCTGTTACAGGGATAGCTTTACTTTACTTTTTTATAAGAGGGAAAGTCAGTAAATAGGTCACAAATGGACATAAAACGCGAAACATGTGATATTCGAACCTGGAAAGTTAACACTTATTTCCCGACATCTCCACCAACACCGATGCACTTATACTTTTTATTTCGTGCATCCTGTTGTGGTACTATATACAATTGTTTATTTGAGTCCGTCGCAACACAACAGCATAACGGTACACACCACTTGATAACTGTTACATTATAAAATACACTGAATTATAAACTTATCAAAAAGAAAACGAAAGTTTTGGAATAAAATAGGGTTAAAAACTCTTCATGTGCTATTGCATATCATGAAGTCAGCTGTTGCAATCTTGTCATATTGCCGCGGACATAGCGGTGTATTGAGGGCTTGTATACATACGGGCAGAGCAAACTGCTTGGAGGAGAGCTTTCCTTCCCGCCACGTGGGGATAAGACGGGACTGACCAGCCGGCACCAAATCAGAGACAGAGAAAGGAACATAACATGTGCTGTTTACATGCATCTTTCAACTTCCCCCTCTGATAGAGCGTGTTTTCATATCGACAAAAATGCAGTCAGTCCGGTTACTCGAATATGCTCATGTGCTATACGGAAGGCCAGGTTGTAATGATTACATGACTGCGGGTGTTCAAGATGCAAGGTCAGTAGCAAACAGGAGCGAAATACTGTCACGTGATTGAGTTATTTTACAGGGGGTTTGGATGGATAATAGGATGTACTGAACTCTTAAACAACTCGTAACCACAAGTAATTACGACTGTCTCACTGAATTGCACATTTCAAAGATCACTGCAACTACAGCACGCGTAATGCCTTCTTAATACAATTGGCGCACTTGTAAGAAGACTTACCGGTAGTTGCACTCACACTAGGCTCCGGCGAACAATTAGGAACACAATTAAAATGAAAGCGCGAATCGCACACGCCACAACGGATAGATTTTTGTTTACCGTAAAACGGCTTATCGCAGAGCAGACAGTGTTCCTTACTGGCCATACCTAAGCAGCGGTAGGCCTGTACACACAAAGAGACACTAGGCAGTCAAGCGGGCGGGAGCACAACCAAGACACGTCCGTTCAGCTCGAGCGCCTGACAACAATAACTGAACCCAAGGAATGCAGAACTTCAGAGGAATTTAGAAAATTACTTATACCAGGAAGCTTCATAATATTTACTTTTCACCTAATTTTGTTAGGTCTGTTACATGAAGAATGTTGAAATTGGTATGGCATGTAGCATACATGGAATAAGTGTATTTGTTCATTTGTATAACCTCAGAATATGAGTCCATGTTAAACAGATCTAGGTGAAATAGAATGTGTTTATATCAGCTGAACTTAATTTATTATAATGATGAACCTGCTGTAACAACTGAATATTTCTTTAACAGTTAAGAGCCCAGTAACGTCTCAGGAACTGTTTTGGTTCCCAAAGATACTACTAAACTGCAAACCTAAGACAACATAAAGTAAGTAAAAGTAAAGGTATCTCTGTAACAGGCCGTGGAGGTCCATACAGTTGTGAGATGTTGAGGTTCCTTCATTTTCTAGACAATCAGCTCATAGACGGTGGCAAGGTTGTCAGCCCTACATGCCAGCCACCCTTTACCCCCAAGAATATTCCTGGTACTCATTTCTGTTAGAGGCTGAGTCGACCCCAGGGTCATAGTGCAGCTGGAAGGATTAGGTAAATTGAAAAAAATCCAGTGACCTCATCGGGGTTTGATCCCGCGACCTTCCGGGTTGTAGCGTAGTGCCTCAACCAACTGCACTACTGCTACCTAAGACAACATGGAAAGATAAATTAAATTGGAGCTGTAAGAGACCAAAGGGCATAACTGCTGAACCAGAAGAAGTTTTGAAGAATTTCAGTGAAGCTAACATTCAGTCTGTAGTCTAATGGCCTAGGCTTATCTCTGCCCTTTATTATAAGGTTTGTTCTTATCATTAAAAGGTTAGACATGTTAGAGCACTGTAATGGACGCACTGCTACTGCCACAGAGAATTTGCCCTGCTGCATCCAAAAGTCCTGTGGTGTGGAGAGAGTAGGAAATATCATTATGTTGCAAGTGTTCCCTTTTGTTTTCAGATTTTAAAATTTCGAAATCCAAAATTGCAACAAAAGCAAAGGTGTCATCACCCACTCTTTCTCCAGTATGTGCTGCTGTCAGTGCTGAAGATGTATATATTACAGACCAAACTCCAGTTCGTGGTAAGATTTAGTTGTGTTGCTGTTGATCATCTCTGTCATAGCATGTAATCCAGGATAGCTCACAAAAATTGGTTGGAGTGGTATGGAATGGATTCATCTGGCTCATGATAGGGATAAGTTGAAGGCTCTTAAGAACACGTTAATTAACCTTCAGATACTCTGGGAGATTTCTGAATGGCTGGGTGACCAGTGGCTTCTTGAATACTTACTTTAGTTAATGTCTCCTAAGCAACATCTCCCGTATGTTTCCCAGCAGGTGGATGAAATGTACTCCGAATGGAATGTAGTGAAATTTCTATTTCTTTTTTCTCTTATTCAGATGTGAATAGAATCTTGTGTAACAAACAGACAAAGAGCGAGGCTATTGCTGACATAGAGCTTAATCCTCGGCTCCTACAGACACCAGAGTTTGACAGAGAATATGACAGCCCACTGCATACAAGTAACTTACCTAGTGCCAGAAGGGAACACAAAACTCCAGCTTGCAAAAGTATATGTACATTTCGTGGAACAACCAACAAGAAGTCACATGCCGGTAATCTGTGCTCTCTTACCAGTTCCCTTGTGAAAAAGAAGAAATCTGTAGGAAAGGCACTACAGTTCCAGTCTGTGCCAAGGATGAATGTGGTAGGTATTTACAATTATCATGTTGTATTTGCATAAACTGGACTATAACAGCAGTGTCAGTAAACAATCAAATGGAATTCTCAGGTAACACTGATATAGCACTGTAATTGAACTTATAAATAAACTTATTTGGTAATGATTACCAGTATTTTTGGAAACATTGATAAAATTTGCAATTGTAAGTAGATATTTAATAAAAAATATTGTTTCTTGAAACAGGAGAACAGTTAAATTAAGGGTAATATTGTCTGAGAAAGAAATACACATAATGGCCTCAAGTTCATTTGATTTGTTGACAAATTGTGTAAGCTGTTGAACATGGTCATATATATACACATACATAACCACCTTGCCCCCTCCTCTAGTGATGGCCCCCTTTTTTTAGCTTGTTATGGCTATGTATCATAATGTCTAGTTGTTTCCTTTTTGCTTTGTTTGCTGTGCCTCAAAACAGAGCAAGAAGGAAACAACTAGACATCACAACAATACAGTACCATAACAAGCAAGGACCTCTGAGGGCTCAAAATAATATCCCAACTTTCTGTTTTAACAGAAGAGGCACAAGGACACAAACGATATCAGTTTCAATCCATATAATTGTAATAAAAATTTCTAAGTATGTATTACAAACTTTATAATAGTAGTTTCTGAACATGTTGATTTTATGCCTTCTGTAGATTGTCAGCTGACCAGAACATGTAAAGACAATAAATATCTACAAATTGAATCACACTGGACAGTGTTAATAATTATTCTATAATTTAGTTTACTAGTGTGACAGACAAGAATGAATACGGTTAAGTTTGTCATGTACTTCCAAAATATAGTCAATCATTTTGTTGGCATTTTATAAATTTGGTTTTAAACTGAAATTGGTAATTTTGTTGCTTTAAGCAAGCATTCCTTCATTGTTATGAAATATGTAATTAATTGTATTTTTATTTTAAAGCTGCATCGCCAATCACGAGCTGTGCCGTCTGTCATCAATGAACTGTTTGATAAATCTCCAGAAGAAACACAGGAGAGGGTAATGAGTATATTTCTGAATTGTAACATTTGACCTTTGAGGGGAGGAAGTGGTGTTTGAACCTAATGACATGCTGATATTATGTTAGTTGGATATAAAACACAGTTGTCAGTTTGTACAGTAAATATCCAATGTTCTGTTTTGTTTTAAATTTGAATAAAAGAAGGTAAAACTATCCCTGTGACAGGCCATGAAGACCCATAGGGTTGTGAGGTGTTGAGGCTCCTGCATTTTCTAGACAATCGGCTCTCAGATGTTGGTAAGGTTTTCAGCCCTTATGCACCAGGCACCCTTTACCCTGTAGGAAGGTTCCTGGTACTCATTTCTCTTAGAGGCTGAGTCGACCCCAGGGCCATAGTGTGGCTGGAAGGATTAGGTCAACAGAAAAATCCTGTGACCTCATTGGGAATCGAACCCATGACCTTCCGGCTTGTAGCATATTGCCTCAGCGAACTGTGCTGCTGTGTGCACTTTTTTAAACCAGAATTCGTTCTTTAAACTACAGACAGATATGGAAGGGAATTTTAGGAAATTATGTACAGACTCCACACTCATCAGTTTTAAGCTTAAATTTCCTGAGTTTGCTCAATGCAGGAATCAGTTCCCATTGGGTTGAGTAGCCTATGATGATGCAGCTGTGAGTGTACAGTATTTTTCATACTGAAGTTAAAACAATCTTTTCATAAAATGTTTCCAAGATTGTCTTCTGGCAAATGACCCATAAACTGGTATGAAAGGAGAGGTGATGAAGTAGTGACAGATGTATTGACACATTAATCTTAATGTGATGCGTGTTGCAGTTGCATCAATCACGTATGTAGCCCAGCTGCCCAAGCAGTGCATCTTTTCTTACCTGCCTGCCAAATTGAAATCTTTTAGTTCCCAGTTTTGTGGATTAATTGTATTTATGAAGAGCTCTATATTCTGAGATATAACACCACGTAACAGACTGTTGTTACTTGCTTCATAATGGTTTCTTGTTTGGCTTATTCTTCAACCCTGAAGATGGAAACAACATGTGCCTCTGAAAAGTTGGTTGACTTTCAGTGGATTAATGCATTATATCCTAGAAGATAAAACTTATTGTAACCACCAGTGTGAAAACTTCAAATCCTAATTCTGTGTATGTTTCTGGATTTAATCTTCTCAGATTCCTGCCACCTCAGTTGAAAGTAAATCTGCAATATCAACTCCCTCACAAGACTGTTTTGGTGGTAAGTCAATGCTCAGTATAAGTTATTCTTTTATAATGAGTAGTATCATTAATACTTTAGGCAGAAACATATCTCTCCCTCTTTTTGTGTTATTTGCATGATGTCACAACATACTGAGGTTACAGAGTTGTAAATATAATAATCGGACAGTAGTTGGTTCAGCCATGTCACACCCACAGAAAGAACTGTTAGTGCCACTGTTTAGAAGGCCACACAGGTCTTAAATCGGACTTTCTTATAGGAAATTTTTGTGTGAATTTTACTGTACAGCTGATTGATTTTCAGATGTGACATCTGGCATGAAGATAAGTCCAGCAGATCTGCTTTGTTCCCCAAATCCCAAAGAAGCAGAACAGCAAACAAAGGGAAGTCGTCGGAAATCACTGGATGCTATTATTGAGCGATATTTGAAAGTCCGGAAGAATATGGACTGTACATGAGATTTAAAAGGCTCATTACTTGTTAACAGTGTATGATGTGTGGTGATTGGAATGAGATCTTTCTAATATAGAAAACATATTTTCTAATAAACTTAAAAGAAAAGTTGCTTCATGGCATTATTCAGTTATATTCTACCATCTAGTGCTACAGTTAAGAATTTGTGGAGCTGTACCTCAACTCCATCATATGTCTCCATGGTTTGGTGCTCAATTAATAAAACACAGGGACTTTACCTTACTTTCTAATGTAAAGGTAATGTGAATTTGTCCCTGTGCTTAATCAAGCACAATGCTATGGAGATGTATGGGGGAGTGGAAGTATAGCTCCACTGTTCTTGAGCTTGTCACATGAGAAATGGAAAAATGGCTAAAAAATTGCATTATGTAACGTGTTTCATAGTTTATTGAAAGCTGTTGATACAGTTAGTATTCCATACTGTGGCCTACTGTCTTAATGATGCCATATAGTATGATCAGTGCATGCGTATGTTTCAGAGGAATTTACTTACACTGTCTTCAGGGTAAAAAAATAGAGGCTGCATGTTCCTTCAAAATGTCGGTGCCCACTTACCAGACTACATGGTGACATAACTGAAAACACCATAGTATGTATCTGGCCATTGTAACATGAGATGTTATATACAGATATCATCTATTGATTCTATATATATATAT